GGGATGAAGCATGAAGCCTTCAAATACATAATAGAAGCAGTTAACTGTTCAGGTGCATTGCATCCGAAACGTGCGGTTGCCTATTTGTTAAACTCTTAAACACTAACAAGTTTGCTGTTGTTATTGAGAACAGGAAGGTGGTTAGTTTGTTTGGCATTCTGGCAAGTCACCCATTAACACCAGGTCTAAACACAAGGCGATCATGGCTAGCAAAGAATTGGACGCAAGTGTTATTGACCCGCCGAAAGAGATGGAGGAATCTGAGTCTGGTTTGAAAGAAGAGGTATATAAGCTGAAGCACCAAATGGCCAAAATGTACCAGGCATGGATGAAGGGGCATCCTCCACCGTCATACCCCGCCAACCCTACTTTCATCCCACCACTAGCTCAGTCTCAAGAGCCCACCATTGTTGATCTATCCCCGCAACACGCACCAAGCTTCACCCTTTACCATCATTATCCTAGCACCTCTTCCCAAACCATCCAAGCTCCACCAGCCAAAGCAACTACCCACACTGCTCCGCCGACTACCCATGTCTTTGTAGAACCTCCGCCAGCTACCCTTCATCGATCTTCCAGTGAGCCGGCATTCCAAGCCCAAGATTACACTCCTCACTTTGAACTTCTTGCCGAAACTGAGAAGCCACCCAAAAACACGGAGCAAGAGGAGATATTTAGGAAGGTAAAGAGTTTGGAGCAGTCACTGAGAAATATGAAAGGGTTAGGTGGCCAAGTGAGTGTGGCATATAAAGATCTGTGTTTGTTTCCTGATGTCCAGCTACCTGCCGGATTCAAAATGCCCAAGTTTGACTTGTACGACGGGCATCGAGACCCCGTGGCCCACTTAAGAGGATTTTGTAGGAAAATGAGGGGTGCTGGTGGGAAAGATAAACTGTTAATGGCATATTTTAGTCAAAGTTTGAGTGGTACAACCGCTAGGACAACAGCAGGTGGTGCACCTGGGATGACTTTGCCCAGGCTTTCGCTCGGCATTTCCAGTATAACATAGAGATTGTCCCAGATCGCCTATCCTTGACTAAGATAGTGAAAAAGCCCAGTGACGGTTTCAGGGAGTATGTTTTCCGATAGAAAGAACAAGCGGCACGAGTCAACCCTCCAATGGAGGAAGCTGAAATGGTAGAGTACTTTCTTCAGGCCTTGGAGCCTACTTATTTTGGTTATCTGATCTCGGCCATAGGTCTTTCAATGAAGTNGGGAGGAATGGTAGAGGAAGGACTCAAATCAAGCAAGATCATGAGTTACTCTGCCATCAAAGCAACTACACAAGCAATCCAGAATGGCACCGGGGGTGTGTTAGGGAAAAAGAAGAAAGAAGATGTTGCTATGGTCGCCTCAGGATCGTGGCATGGCCCGAGGGGTTCACCACACCATTACACCTAGCCTCGACCCCAACCTCAAACCTACACTCAAACCCCATATAATCCACCCCAACACTACTATCCACCACAAAACCCTCAATATTCAATCGGACCGCCCCAATACCACGTCCACCACGCACAGTCATATGCTCAACCCCCTCCTTACCCGCAATGGTGTGCACCAGCTCCACAAACATATCGAAACCCTACTGGTCCAAGTTTTTGACCCAGTCCGGAGTATAGAAATGAGAGGCTGCAGCGGAAGAAAACTTTCACCCCGCTTGGGGAGTCATATACCAGTTTGTTTCGGAGGTTGAGGCAGTTGGATGTTCTGAGGCCGATTGAGTCGAAATTACCAAATCCCCCTCCAAAGAACCTGGATTATTCCCTCAGATGTGCATATTGTTCTGATGCTCCGGGGCACGACATAGAGAAGTGTTGGCATTTGAAGAACGACATCCAGGAGCTTATTGATACAAACCAAATTATGGTCCAGAGCCCAGAAACTCCAAACATCAATCAGAATCCGTTGCCAGCCTATGCCGAAATGCATATGATTGAGATAGTGTATAAGGATGGAGAGCCCGAGATGCCTTCAAAGTCTGTTATGATGATCCGTGCCAGTGACAGTAATTCAGTCAAAACTCCAGTTTTTACAAATGCAACATCGTCGATAGCTGAAGGGCTGAAGGACAAACTAAGCTCGCCCAATGTTAATTTGCCTGTATTAGTTGTGAAAGGGTTCCTAGATGATGTTGAAGCAAAGAAAGGAAAGCCGAAAGTGGTGGTTCCAGGGGCAGCAAGTAAGCGTGTCATAATCGTCGAAGGGGCTCGCACCGACCCTATTATTATTAAACCTGTGACCCAGCTGCCGATGAATAACACCAAGACTGTTCCATGGAATTACAAGCAAGTGATAGTAACCTATAAAGGGAAGGAAGTGGAAGAGGAAGTTAATGAAACCCGAGGGTTGACTCGTTCTTGGAAATGCTTTATCCCAGAGGAATTGAGGAAAGCTAAGCCACCCAAAGATAATCCAATTCTAGTGAAGAATCTAGTCACCGAAGAGGAGGCGGAAGAATTTCTGAGAAAAATGAAGGTGCAGGATTACTCCGTCGTAGAACAGTTGAGGAAGACGTCCGCTCAGATTTCTCTGCTATCATTGTTGATACATTCGGAGAGTACTGCCGGGCCCTCATGAAGATCCTGAATGAAGCTCATGTCCCTAAAAAGATCACAGTAAACCATTTGGAGAAGATTGCCAACAAGATACTCGAGACAAACAGAATCACTTTCTCAGATGATGAGTTGCCTTTGTAGGGTACGGAGCACAATCGGGCTCTCTATCTCACATTGAAATGTGAAGATTCTGTGGTCACAAGGGTGCTAGTTGACAATGGTTCCAGTGCAAACATTTGCCCTCTCTCCACTCTGCACAAGTTGAACATTGATACTGAAAGGATCCACAAGAACAGTATATGTGTCCGAGGTTTCAGCGGAGGGGGGAAAAGATTCTGTTAGTGATATCGTGCTCTAACTGACGATAGGACCAGTTGAATTTACCATGGAGTTCCAAGTGCTAGATGTGGCCGTCTCCTACAATTTGCTATTGGGCAGGCCCTGGATACATGTTGCCAAAGTAGTTCCTTCTTCCCTGCACCAGATGGTAAAGTTCGAGTGGGATAGATAGGAGATCGTCGTGCATGGTGATGAGAACTCGTGTGCTTACAATGATACCTCCGTCCCGCTTATTGAAGCCGAAGATGATAAGGGGCCCTGGGTCTACCAAGTTTCTAAAACAGTGCCAGTTGAGAAGATTCTGGAGGGGGAGTGTATTCCAGGTCCAAAGTTAGCCTCCGCATCCGTCATGGTGGCGTCTGAAATGCTGAAGAATGGTTTTGTGCCGGACAAAGGTCTGGGCGCATCTTTACAAGGTATCATACAGCCCGTGTCTCTACCTGAAAATCTGGGTACGTTTGGTCTAGGATTCAAGCCTAAAGGGGACGAGTGAAAAGGGCTAAAAGGTCAAAAAAGAAGGCATGGTTGACTTCGATGAAGAGCTAATTGAAAGGTTCCAAAGTTTATTTGATGAAGTGAACATGGTGGAAATTGGGGAAGGTTCCAGAAAAGCAGATGTGCAGTTTATTGGGCCAAAAGTAAAGCTTAACAATTGGAAGGCTACTCCTCCCCCTACTCGGAAGGAGTTTTGGTAGTTTGCTTTGTTTTCCTTTATGTTATCTGGGTTATACCAGGGTTGTAATCCAGATTTTTATTTTTCGTTTGTTTTGATGTACAAACCCTTCTATCCTTTATTTTCAATGAAATGCAATTTCCCGTTTTTCATTACTCCTGATAGTGTCATTTTTGTTTTTCTTTGTACAGTTCTTTTTATGCTGGTTTCAATGACATGACATGCATGAGGAATTTTTGGCCAAGTCTTAAAAGCCAATCTAACTCTGAAATAATAATCCAAGAAGTAGAGTGCGATGCTGAAACAGAATATGATGAAGAGGAGGCATTTGAGGAAATTAGTAAAGAACTAAGTCATTTTGAAGAGAAACCCAAGCCTAATTTGAATGAAACTGAAGCAATCAATTTAGGAGATCCAGATAATGTCAGAGAAACCAAGATAAGTGTACACCTGGAACAACAAATCAAGGAAGAAATAATCAAAGCATTATTTGAATATAAAGATATTTTCGCATGGTCATATGATGACATACCAGGTTTCAGTACTGACTTGGTAGTTCATAAATTAGCAACTGATCCGGCATTTCCTCCCGTCAAGCAGAAGTTAAGGAAGTTCAAGACTGACATGAGTGTGAAGATCAAAGAAGAAGTCATAAAGCAGCTTGATGCGAAGGTCATTCGGGTTACTCGATATCCCACTTGGTTAGCTAATGTTGTGCCAGTTCCAAAGAAAGATGGTAAGACCAGGGTGTGTGTTGATTACTGCAATCTCAACAAAAGCAAGTCCGAAGGATAACTTCCCATTGCCAAATATCCACATTTTGATTGATAATTGTGCCAGGAATGAGATCGGGTCTTTTGTGGATTGCTATATGGGATATCATCAGATCTTGATGGATGAGGAAGATGCGGAAAAGACAGCATTTATCACGCCATGGGGAACATATTGCTACCGGGTAATGCTATTGTCAGCCCATTTTTAAGTTGCTAAAGAAGGATGCCGCGGTCAAGTGGACTAATGAGTGTCAGGAGGCATTCGACAAGATGAAGAGGTACTTGTCAAACCCACCTGTGCTAGTCCCGCCAGAACCTGGGAGACCTTTAATTCTTTATCTGACAGTCCTAGATAATTCGTTTGGTTATGTGTTGGGCCAACACGATATCACTAGCAAGAAGTAGCAGGCCATTTATTATCTCAGCAAGAAGTTCATTCCTTATGAGGTCAAGTATACTCTACTTGAAAGGACATGTTGCGCATTGACTTGGGTGGCAGAAAAGCTGAAGCATTACCTGTCATCCTACACTACTTACCTCATTTCTCGCATGGATCCTCTAAAGTATATCTTTCAAAATCCCATGCCCACAGGAAGACTTGCAAAGTGGCAGATTTTGCTCAGAGAGTTTGACATCGTCTATGTGACTCGGACTGCGATGAAAGCCCAAGCCTTGGCCGAGAACCTGGTGGATGAAGAGTATGAGCCATTGAGGACCTACTTTCCTGATGAAGAGGTGATGCATATTGACGAGGCTGAGAAGGATGAAAAGCCAGTTTGGAAACTTTTCTTTGATGGGGCCGCTAACATGAAAGGCGTTAGAATAGGAGCTGTGCTTATTTCTGAAACAGGGAATCATTACCCTGTCACAGCCCATCTTCGTTTCTATTGTACCAACAACATGGCTGAGTACGAGGCGTGCATTTTGGTTTTGAGGTTGGCTGTAGACATGGGCGTTCAGGAAGTATTGGTTTTGGGAGATTCAGATCTGTTGGTGCACCAAATTCAGGGAGAATGGGAGACTCGAGATTTGAAGCTCATACCATATCGACAATGTCTGCATGACCTTTGTCAACAATTCAGATCAGTAGAGCTCAGGCATATTCCTAGGATCCATAATGAGGTTGCCGACGCCTTGGCTACCCTGGCGTCAATGTTACACCATCCAAATAAGGCTTATATTGACCCTCTGCATATTCGTGTTCCTGATCAGCATGCTTATTATAACGTGGTGGAAGAGGAACTTGATGATGAACCTTGGTTCCACGATATCATGGAGTACATCAAGTCGGGGGTATACCCGGTACAGGCCACAAGAGATCAAAAGAGAACGATTCGACGCCTGGCTAGTAGATTTTTCTTAACCGGGGGAATTTTGTACAAAAGAACTCAAGATCTTGGATTGCTGAGGTGCATAGATGCTAAACAAGCTTCGACCATCATGGCTGAGGTTCATTCCGGAGTTTGCGGGCCGCATATGAGTGGATATGTTTTGGGAAAGAAAATTCTCCGAGGAGGATATTACTGGCTTACCATGGAGCGAGATTGCATCAGCTTTGTGCGCAAGTGTCATCAATGCCAGGTACAAGGTGATATGATTCATTCTCCGCCATCTGAGTTGGATACGATGTCCGCACCTTGGCCCTTTGTTGATTGGGCCATGGATGTCATTGGACCGATTTACCCGGCAGCATCGAACAGACATAGGTTTATTCTGGTGGCCATTGATTATTTCACCAAGTGGGTTGAAGCTATGACTTTCAAATCTATGACTACGAAGGCAGTGGTCGATTTTGTTCATTCAAACCTCATTTGCCGGTTCGGAATCCCCAAGGTAATCATCACGGACAATGGTGCTAATCTTAACAGCCATCTGAGGAAAGAGGTATGCCAACAGTTCAAGATTATGCATCGAAATTCCACTCCGTATCGCCCTAAGGCGAATGGAGCTGTTGAGGCGGCCAACAAGAACATAAAGAAGATACTTCGAAAGATGGTGCAAGGTTTTAGGCAATGGCATGAAAAGTTGTCTTTTGCTTTGCTGGGTTATCGCACTACTGTTTGCACTTCAGTAGGTGCAACCCCTTGTTGGTATGGGACTGAAGCAGTTATACCCGTGGAAGTCGAAATTCCATCCCTTCGGATTGTTGCTGAAGCTGAAATTGATGAAGATGAGTGGGTCAAAACCCGTTTGGAGCAGTTAAGTCTGATCGATGAGAAAAGACTGGCGGCAGTATGTCATGGTCAATTGTATCAAAAGAGAATGGCAAGAGCATACAACAAGAAGGTGCATCCCCAGAAATTTGAAGTGGGTCAGCAAGTACTGAAACACATCCTTCCACATCAGGCTGAAGTTAAAGGCAAGTTTTCCCCAAACTGGCAGGGGCCGTTCATTGTAACGAGAGTGTTGCCCAATGGTGCTTTGTATTTAACAGATATAGAAGGCAAATGTGTAGAAATGGCTGTCAATTATGATGCAGGCATCAGAGGTAGCTAGCTATCCCTACAGGAGCATACAAAACCCGGGCATCCTCCGAGACGGTCAGTATAACCGATCTCTTGCGATCAGGGTCCACACTCAGAGCGAGGAACTGGTTGATCAATTTCGGGCTCGAGCTCAGCCCGCCAGATTCTGAGGATATGTCCTACTTCGAAACTTCCAGGTCGCCCAGACTGGAGAAGTCTTCCAAAGCAGGCGAGTCTACACTATCAAAAAAAGAGTGAAGGGGATTGTCCGCACTATGGACCCCCTCATTGGACTTCTCCTTTCTCGCCTGGGCCTCCTCGAGCATGGAGTCAGTGTAGGAGGGCGTCCCCGCAATCTCAATTATATCGAGCACTTCCTTTTAGGGAAGAGCCGGCATCTTGGAGAGTCTCACCCTGGGTGTCCACGTCGATCATTTGAGTTGGAGGGGGTCGATCTCACGATTCTCCCCCTCGGATGCTGCCAATTTCCCAAGATAAGTCGTCCCATGGGTAACAAAAATAGGTTCATCATCCGGCTCGTCCCTAAGCCGGAGGAATGAGTTAGAATCCGAAAGCCGGAAACTGGAGCCCCTCATGGGCTTGCGGGCCACCCTTTTCTTTGGTTTCTTCACCTCGGAGCTCGGAAAAAACTTCCCCTTCCAAAGGTCTAAGTTCAGTGGTCATAGGAAAAACTGCAATAACAAAAGGGAAGAGGAGTTAGTTTAATAAAGGCGTAATGGCTTCCTGGCCACTTAAAACTTGTACCGGATTTTAAAGCCGATACACGAACTTACATTGTTCCCATTTGAACACTTCAACTTGACGGAATGAATATTGATAAACACTTTCTGTTGAACGGGTTCGCCAATCGCTCTGACAGGAATGCCATGTCACATATTTGGTCTTTATTATATGACATGTGGATTTGTGGGTCCTATATTATTAAAAGAAATAATCTTTAAAATTTTTAAATGGAATTTTAAAAATTAATCTCCCTTCTTCTCCTTTCACCCACTCTCTGCTTCAATTCTTCATACTCCTCACAAACCCGCCGGAAAGTTGATAAGCTCTTATCCATATTCAACAATGGTAGGTTTTGAACTTGGCTCTGTTCCATTCAATGCCGACGGATGGGGTCCACCAGATTCCTCCATCTCCATACCAAACCAAATCTCTAACGCCCCATTCGCTCCTTTCTTTCGCTCCGACAAGCTTGGTCGTATTGATGACTGGACTCGGTCTCTTTCAAACTGACCCGGATCCAACTCCAAGCAAAACGCTACTGATTCCGCCTTCGACTTCTCCGGCGACGATTCATTCGCTACCCTCGCCGCTGACGAAGACTCCTCTTTCCGCCTCGTCGACACTGCCGCCAAATCCCATCACCACGGGCAACACCGGCCGAAATTCAATCCTAGGTGGCGGTTCAACATCTTCTTCGCAACATCAACCCTCCCTGCATTTTGCACTATTTTTGGGATGATGATGGTACTTGTTTTCTTTCTTTGAGTTGCCAAAATCCTTAGGTGTCCGCCAAAATTGTTTAAGTTTTGAAAGGTGAAGTACTCATATTATTGTTCAGCTCTTTTCTGGGGTATGCTGGAAATGGCCTGGTTTATTTTCTTTATTTTTAATTTGTATTTTTTTCTAGTTTTAGATTTTTTAAAATCAAAACTACTGTAGTCACGCGCATAATTTTGGTGACTTGCACACACCTTGTCCACATCATCTTTGTCACTGCCACATGTGCATGGTCAACGGTCAAATAGGTTTATTAGTTACCGGATATGTGAGTTTGAGTGTTCAAATGGGAACAATGTAAGTTCGTGTATCGGCTTTAAAATCCGGTACAAGTTTAAGTGGCCAGAAAGCCATTACGCCTTTAATAAAAGATAGAAGCGTGGTATTGGCACCTCCCATCGGTCCTTCGAGAGTCCGCGCCATGTGCGCGAAGTACGATATTTGAGTACAGATACCCTCAATCCATTCCTTTAGCCGGGGAACCGCATTCGGAACCCGGACGACAGCTGCAAAACAACAAGCATGAATGAGAAGAAAGAACTTGAAGAAACATAATTTTGACATTTAAAGAGAGATTGCACTTACGAGACGCATTCCACTTCTCAGGGAATGGCATGTATTCAGGGGGGTCAAATCCTCGGTCTTCACTCAAACGAAACGTCCCTGCCAGCCCCGGTCTCGGTCTTTGTCTATTCTCGGAAAGGGGGCCTTGCTGGCCCGGCGAGTAAGCTTGATCAGTCCCCCTCGAAACATTCGAGAACTGTATAATCGAAGTAGGTGGTCGATTTTGAACCGGCGAGACTCATTCTTTTTCACAAAGTAGCGGAGGAGAATCACAATCCTCCACAGCGAAGGATGGATTTGCCCGAGGCACACCTCGTACCTCTTGCAAAAGTCCAGAATGACTGGGTCCATCGGGCCCAATGTGAAGGTGGAAGTATAAACACTTAAGTACCCCTCCATGTGGTAGTAATGACGTCCTCGGTCCCGGGGACTACTACGTCCTTGCCCTCCCAGTTGCAGTCCTTTCAAACTATAGGAAGAACGTCTTTAGTCACGGAGCATATGTACCTCGAAACTCCTTCGCCCCGGTCCTGTTTGCGTGAGGGCTTCTTGATTTTAAGTCATCTGCAATTGAGCAGCCTCCGGGAATGAATGCTTTCAAAGGATTCTTGGGGGCTGGTTCATTACCACATCAGGGGAAGCCGTTTTGAGGGTGACTACTTCAGGGGAAATTGCCTCAGTACCAGCGGCCGGTTGAGAAGATGAAGAGGAAACATGATGAGGAACGGATTTCGATGTTTTGGCCATTGTTATCTGGGGGAGGTTTTGAAAATTTGAATAAAGAATGCAAAGTTTTGGATAAACAGTTTTCGAAGATGAAGACCAAAGTATGAATATTTGAATAAAATTTGGGTAAAAACCTGGAAATCAGCGCGAAAATTGAAGAACAAGGATAAAGATATGAAGGTTTGGATGAAGTTTGATGATAGCTGGAAAGCTTGAAGGTAATAGCTTGGTCAAATGTAGAAAATGAACAAAGGATGGAGGCTTCTATAAGAAAACAGCTGACACTGCGCATTCGGGGGCAACCAGCCGATGGGCGACACGTGTCCGAAGTCAGAACGACGGACCTGATGGGACGTTTTGGCTTCCTCGTTTTAACGTACGAAGTAAGGAACCGTAGAGCATCTGTCATTTCCCTTCGTTTCGAAAATCCTACTCTTTGACAAATGAGGGGACTATATGTACATGGGTAAAATCGAGCCTAGTGAGCACCCCAATTTCTCGGGGAGGCAAACTGAGCAGGGTCATGAATGTGAGGAATCAGAATCAGAGCGAGGAGCCACTCATATCAAGGTTGGAGCAAAATACCTGCCCTCGGAGCCATCGGGACCACGTCCTCCGGGTCCTGTTCGTGTCCTAAGACCTCGGAGAACTTTACCAAACAACCGCACACGAACAACAAAGAGCCGTGATGTCCACGCCCAATGGGATATCACGGCACGAATCTCGGCCAGTATGGCAGAAAATCAGTGATTAGCGAAATGGATGATTTTTACCTTTCTCAGAATTGTACCTAGGGTAAAACTCCCCAACTATATAAAGGAGAAGCTTATTATTCATTAGACACACACTATAACACGCATATCAAGGCAATATACTTCTATTTCTGAATGCTATTCAAAGTTCTTGTTCTTGTTCATAAGTTCTCCATAAATGTTAGCTCGAAACAGAAGGCAGGTTCCTCGTTAAGCCATTAACCGAGCTCGGACTCATTCTTATCATTGGTTTGGTAATTTATTACGTCTTTTATTTTCTTAATCTAACGCCATTAATCACTTATATTGAATTAATCCACATATCCTTAAAACCGCGTATAAATTCAATTATTATCCATTTTTAAGGGTAAACAGACAGCAATTCAGGTAATAAATTAAGACCCAGGAAAGGTATAAAGTATTGCTTTTCTGGACTCAAAGCACAAAAATTGGTGAAAAAACCAATTGATGACCGATTTATATATAACGCATGGGTTGAATGCGCTATACCTTAACGACACGTTTGTCTGCTAAGGTATAGCGCATGCAACACATGCGCTACATTTGAATTTTAAAATGGCGGTCAAAATATAAGTGTAGCGCATATACGGGATGCGCTATACCTGAAGTTGAAAAGACAGGTAGGTATAGCGCATCCCATATATGTGTTATACTTATATAAAAAATGGCCCAGCCATCTTCCTCGACAACGTTGTGAAACATCGTCCCCCCCCCCCCTATTGTTTATGCAAAAATCTCCATTGGAGCCCACCCGTCTCCCAAAAATCGTGTCCCCTCCGTATTTTAGCGAGCTAACACCAGATTCAAGATATTGTCGTGTAGTGGATCTCGTCTATTGCTTGTTTCGGCTCCCAAATCATCAACTTTTCACTATTCAAAAAGTTGTAAATCGAGGTATTTCGACTTGCTTTTTGGTAAAACTCATGTATATATAGTGCTTATTAGTTATTTTTACTGTGTTGTATGCTTTTTATGATCGTTTTGTGATATAATTATTTTTTTGTTTTTTATCCGGATTAGTTTATTTATGTGCTAAAAATTATTAAAAATATATATTATTATTTTATTGAATAATTTGTGTTATATGTGATTTTAGTGTTGTATATATTAGTATGTGACTTTATTGTTGTTTAGTATCCTTTAGTGTTATGTTGTACCGTTAATTGTTATGTAATGCCCTTTAGCATAGTAAAACTGATAATAAGTTTTAGCTTATGGTAGTTGACTTTGTTTATGGCCATTTAGAGTAGTGTGACTTTAGTGCTCTTTAAGATTCTGCAGTCTAGAATAAAAACTACATGCTCTCCTTAACAAACTCGGTTAGAGTACTCAATTATGGATTTAAAGTATTAGTAGATAATTATCAAATATTAGATATGAATCATAAAATAATCAGTTGACGAAGGACTTATCCCAGTTACCATACACAATCTCAAACGCACGTTTACGCCCGAGAAATGCCTTTCTTTTGGTAATGGTACATCCATATACCTAGTGGACAGATGTTATACACTCTTTAATCGTGTACCTTATGGACGATTCAATGTGTGGAATCAAGACAAGAGAAATCAAGTCAACATTCAAGTTAAAATGTTTCCGACTGAATGTGTCCATATCACAAGTGTGGGTGGCAAAGTATTTTCCCTCAATCCACATATTTGTTTTCAACTTTCTCGCACGCAGCATCCATGTAAAACCTTGATACCATCTACGACAAATAACCTTGTATACTTCCGAAGATGACTCATGAACCACGATCTCACGACACTCTTTTGTGCTGTACATTCGCACCGCCCTGCTTAGGCGCGCTTTATCAGCAAAAAACATATTCTTTGACAGCACTGTTGGTCTAGATTTATCCCACTTAGTTGTCCGAATATCGTCAAGATCCCTTGTGAGGGCATCCACATCCGGCATATTGGCTATTGATCAAGGTATGGAATTCCCCTCGAATGAAAGGGCACATATGACTCGTACACTCTAGGTCTAACGGGAGGTGGAGTCTGCATATATGGAGCATGCTCATTGGTGGCATCATGTTCCCTCGGCAAATCAGGTTAATAATTCCCATCCTCATCATCATCACCCTCATAAGGGAAGGGTGTGTCATCTCCAGACTCATCAGCATTGTTTTCATAATCACTATCATCTTCCTAACTCTGTGCATCTGCTAGATCCTGATAAATATAACGTATTCGGGCAATTGAGTAAGGACAGGACCTTCAAGTTGCTCGTTTTCACTGCACAACCAATAAAATAATGAGTTTCTCAAATTCATCCTAAAATTATAAATAAACATTATCACTTAACTTATAAATCATAATCTGTTGATATTCCATGATGCATATTATCCTGTTGTTGATGACTACCGGATGGACCACCATGATCCAACACACCAAAATTGGGCATATTTTAACTGTCCGTTGGTTCATAACTTATAAAATTCATATCTAGCCGGTACCCCCTTTGGAATATATGAGTGCTAATACAAATATAATAGATAAAAAAAATAGTAATATAAAGGAAAATTAAAAATTTACCACTCGGCTTGTGGATTATGTAAACTTGGGGAGAAATTATGTCCTCGCTTTTCATTCGCCCGTGGAGATAAGTTTAGATCTGGTCAAACTCTTTCAAAGGAACTTGTTCGGATAAAACTGCTCCAAAAAAACTACCCGATGATTGAGGGTTATCCCTATTTTGCGAAACCTCAATATTGCGAATGTCTTCAGACTTGACGTACATTTCCAACATTTTTATCACAAGAAGTTCCTTGGGTTCATCCGGAGTCCTCAAAAAATCTGCCAGAGTTTCATCGTCTTTGATGTTTAACTCAGCATAACAATTAAGCAACCCTTTGCGGAGTAACAAATTACAGAATCTTTCGGTTACTTTAATATTAACCGAACGTTTTCTCACACTAATTTTTTTTTACATATAAACAAAATCAATTTATCATACTCCATTGTAGGTGGCAACTTAACAATACTCTATGGAGAACAACTATAGCGTACTAAGTTATTCTTCACCACAATCTCACCCCCGCCCCCATATAATGTAACCCTAAATTTTTGCTCTTCGGACATTATGACAAAATGCAAAAAAAGTTAAGCAAACAAATATTTCGGAAGACCCTGGAGGACTCTGAATGGATTTTTAACGGAACAATGAAACTCCTTAAACAAGCAAAAAACTAATGCGGGGGTACAATAATTGAGGGTATAGGCGCATTCATAATACGCGCTATATATGTAGCGCGTATTTTGCATGCGCTATAGCCTCAATTATTGGTGGGTCAGTAAAGTTCAAATATAGCGCATGGATTGAGTCAGTAAAGTTCAAATATAGCGCATGGGTTGCATGCGCTATATCCTAACGGACAAACGTGCCGTTAAGGTATAGCGCATTCAACCCATGCATTATATATAAATTGATCATCAGTTGATTTTTTACTTATTTTTATGTTTTGAGTCCAAAAAAATAACACTTTGATTTCGGCCTCGATACTTACGGTTAGGATGAACAGGAATTCATGTAATAAATTAAGACCCAGGAAAGGTACGATTTGGAAGTACAGGCTAAAGTTTCATTGGCAGATAGTGATAAATTTCACTTCTGAAATAATAAGGTCTGTTATAACTAAATCTACAAGGACAATAATTTTGAAAGAGGTGGCAAAAGGATTTATATCTGACATTTACATCAATTCATGGAGTTTATGAGTGTTATGAAATACCCTTGAATGTCCATGTGTTAAAAATTTGTCTCATCAAAACTCTATGTGATAAATTATTGTCTTTAATATTCTGTAAGATATTTTTAGGATAACTTACTCCAAACACTCATATAATACGATTCAACTGCAGATATTTTCAGGATAAATTACTCTAAACACTCATGAAAATATGATTCAACTGCACATGCATTTTTTGTGTTTCAATATCGTACACTTACACCTGCTATATTATGGAATACCTACATGAATATACTGATGTTATCCTTAATTTTTAGAGATAATTTCAAAGACATCCATCATGTTTTATTCGATCACATAGCCGCCCCATGTAATTTACAATATTACGCTTGCTTCTCTTATATTAATTTTTTATAACAATTTATTTTACCTATTTTTCACTAATGTAAATAAAATGCAGTTTAACAAATCTGCCCTTTTCTAATATTAAATTCTTTCAATTAATTATCTCTATCAAAATAACATATTAACAAATTCTTTAAATTTAAAATAAAAAGCCGGTTATTATTTTAGATAAAGCTGCCCTTTTCCTTTGAAATTTATTTTACACAGATAAATAACCTGAATAAGACGTTATTTCCATCAAGAGTACAAAATACTACTCGTAACGAATTCTCATATAACAAATCAATTATTTGGACTATACTATAAAAGTTTAGTAACTCAGCATGTTCTTTTCGTTTCCCTAGGTCATATTCTATATATTCGATGATAGGACCGTTGTTAAAACTCCATAATTATAATCAAATACTAAGTAGAGCCATTATCTGCAAGATACTCTGTAATTTTTCATAACACATATGCAAGCTTTCCTAGGAACAGGACATGATATCTACCACATTGTAAACACTGCTAAGGGACATTATTACCATGTTAAACCATGTTAAGATAAATGATTTGAGACTAGATGCAGCTAACAATGCTTAAGCAATAGAAGTTGTTATTCAAACATATGTCATGCATCTATTACATAGAGTAAATAGTATATATTTTTTCCAATTATCCCTTCCCAGGTGAGACAAATGACACCAGAAACCAGTTTATAATAACACGAAGCCCTTTTAAAGGGAAGTTCTGTGAAGATGTGCATGTTCTGTTTGATTTTGTTGGGAAGTGCAGGATCACATGGTCTGCAAATTAGTCTCATGTGACCACATGATGCCCGGGACTTCTCCCAAGTCATTATGATCTCTGCTAGAGTTATTTAGGGTCAAACTGCTAATCAAAGCGTATTTTAATTGTCACTACTAACTATTTTTTAAAATAATGGTGCAGTAGGAGTCAGTTTAAGCGCATCTCGACTATTTTATCGACTATTTTATCGATTACCAATTAGTACAGAATATTCGTCTATGCTCAAATCTGAATCCCAACATTTCATGATTTTCATTAACTTGTACGCCACACTACTAACAGATGAGAAATCTTTATTGCTTCAGTTGAAAAGGGTGTTAGGATCGAAAAAATCAAGTGTCATGCGGAAGCTAGTAGCGCAACCCTGAACGATGATAAATCCAACAACAAAAGAGAAATACCAAAAGAGACACAAACATTTAACGTGGTTCGGTCAACTGACCTACGTCCACAACGGAGATGAGCAATCCACTATAATAAAAAGAGAGTACAAAATATCGAGAGAACAATCTCACGAAGAGGCAAACACAAGTGACACACTAACACTTGTCCCGTAAAGTTCTCCCCCTAAACAAGACTCTCAAGCCCCCTATGGCTACATTGTGGATGCTACTGAATGTGAAGGAAGGATCCTCAATTTATAGAAGTCCAAACATTTTCCTACAAGAAAAGGGACTAGCCAAATATGGAAGAATTTATAATTTCCTTTTACAAAAAGGAAAACCTAGTTAAGGTAATTATATTGCCCTTTTCCTTCAAGAGATAGGAAAACCAAATATGGTAGGAAAATTATGGCAAACACCTAACAAAGGGGACAACCAACAATTAGCTTGGAAGAGAGAGCTGGTATCACCTTATTGTCTTTGTATGCAGCTTGTTAATTGAATCCCTTAAAGACAATGAGATTCCACGTTCAGAACAGCTCTCTTTTAGCTCCAAAAGTTGTCCATGTGCTGTTCCCATATTTTTTTAAATACATCAATATAATAGCTCATTTGTTTCTGCTTCACCAGACCACTCAGTTTAAATATTCTCACCGTCCAAATATTTACTACTACTACTCCTCCTACATATACCAAAGAGATTCCTTAAAAAGAGTTCAATAGTTCAACAACAACACAGTTTCCTCCCCTTTAGCCAACTCTATTGTCTCTTTTTTGCCCCTTTACTGATAGAACTAACATGGTGTCCTTAGAAACTGCCACTAGATCTGTTGAGCAGAAATCAAGTCCCCGGATTTCGTTCTCTGCAGACTTTCTTGATGAGAAAAACATCATATCCATAAGTCCGACTTGTCAAGTAGAGAAAAAATGTGAAAAGGAGCTTAATGCAGCAGAATTTGAGTTCCTATCCAGCAATTTTACAAGCGGAAACATGACTACAGCGGATGAGCTAATATTTGATGGTAAGCTACTTCCGTATTGGCAAATGCACCATGCTGAAAAACTCAACAAGATTAGTCTCAAAACAGAAGAAATAATGACTGAAACTGAGGTGAAAAGTAAAGAAGAGATGAATAGGCCAACAAATTGGTTTATTGATGAGGATCCATCTCCTAGGCCACCAACATGTAACGTTTTATGGAAAGAGTTGCTGAGATTGAAAAAGCAAAAGCAGAGACCTTCCTCTTTATCACCTTCTTCTTCTTCTTCTTCTTCTTCTTCCAGCTCGAATTCTGAAATTTCTCCAACAGATGAAAGCAAAGAGAAGCATGTGAACAAGATTAAGAAAAGGCTGGAGAGATCTAGGTCAGCAACTATAAGTGTAAGACCTTTGATTACTGTGCCAATTTGCACACAGGGTAAAAATAATGCACTACCACCTCTTTTTTCCCTCAAGAAAGGAAGACTAGAGAGGTGAAAACAGAAATTAAAGGTGATCATCTTTGTTAGTCATTATGTAAAGATGTTCTATAGTGTTTCCTTAATTTTTATTTGCTTCATTTGGATCTAGATTAATGTTTATTCCAAGGATATGCTTTCATTTCGTGTAATGTATCAGAGACTAATTCCGTTCGTATAGTCTCGAGAACCATGTAATCTGACAATTTTTAGCTTTAATAATTCAGAACAGAAAAAAAAAATTAACCTTATGCCTTGTATTTCAATTTTCCCTAAAACACTTGAGTTAGAGTAACTGCAATTTTCTTCTGCAATATTTCATAGTTGAAGACGTTCTTATATAATTCATTTTTTCGGTAAAATGAGTTCAAGATTTACTTTTTCATTATACGAAAAGAACGGAAGGTACAGACAGTTCAGACATAAACTTACAGCAAAATATTTAGTTTTGCTGAGTAGGTAATTGTATAGGTAACGATTTGAATACTGAAGTGTCGGCGAGTGCTCTCTTGAGGCCCAATCGTCAAATAAAATTTCAAGATCGTTAATTGGAAAATATAATCGCTCATGGAAATACTCTATACTTCTCAGTGCTTAAAGATACGAGGACGACTTCCATATTTCTGGGGTTGCGACATCTATAGATCCCCAGTTGCCTCGTGCTGTTCTATTGCACTATTGCCACTTTCCAAAACCAAGAAATTTATTTATTCTTTTCCTCATTATTTTGAATATTGCTCTTATTTTCATGTTAAAAACTTTTTTTTTACTATCTAAAGAATAATGAAATGTTGCAAAAGTTAAGTTTTCACTTCTAATCCAAAGAAGAATAAGAATGTGCAACCATTAATGAAAATAATGATTGAAAGTTGTAACCTTTCCTAAGTTAATAAAACGGTTGGAAAAATTGAAATAATTTTGATAGTTAAAGTAACCAATAAATTTAGTACCAAACTTGTCCTCTTCACATTCCACCTTGCACCCCTTTTTCTCTTCAAAAATTCAGTACAAAGAACATACATACACCCGGGCCCCAGAATAGAAGAATTTATTTGAACTTCATACTTGATATGCAAGAGAAATAAGTGTATGATTTGTGACTTCAAAGTCGATATGCAAAAGAAATCAGTGTATGATTTGTGACTTAGAGTGTAATCTTCCAAGAAAAGGTGAGAGCCTAAGATGGTAAATTAAAAGTGCAAGGAAAATACCAATGGCGGAGCGAGGAGAAATTCAAAAATATTTCTTGAAAGGCACAACTACCAAGAAGAACGCGAAGCCTACATTGTCCATGAACTTGGACAAATATGTTGGGTATTTAAAGAGAAAATTGGAGCCAGAAGGTTAAAAAAAATTAAACTATAATAATTGTATTTATCTATTACAGATACTTGAGTTTTCCTTTAAACTTTATTATTGAAGTACTGATAGTTTTTGATATTTTTGATAACACATTTTGTTAATGCATTGACAAATCAAAAATATTGTTGTCTCCTCTTTGTGTTTGACCAAAAAGTATGAAACCTTTAGTTAAACCAATATTATATGAGTTGATAATGGGTAAAGCCTAGTTACCGATAATGACTTCTTGATCCAAAACGTATTTGTGAGGATAATGTGGGGGTTCGTTATAACAGATTTAATGCGATGTACATTAAATGATACGATCATAAATGAGAGATGAGTAATGATAAGCAATAAATATGTTAAATGTCAACAAATGTAAATAGAGAGAATGATTTACCCAATATTGAATGAGGTGGATGATTCCACTTTTTGACAATAATGTAAGACAAATGGATATGAGAATATAGGAAGCTTTCTCGGATCTGATGCGAGAAATATGGAATAAACAGCAAACCGAATCTCATTGGAAAGGTAATCTTTGTATTTTATTTTAGAGCCAACTTTTCAAGAGAGTTCCTATCTTCTAGAATATTACATACCCTTTGCCTTATCTCTTCTACTATTTATATGGGATATTCCCGAAAAAACCATAAAAGGTACAACAGAAGGAATATCGAATGGAGTATTCCATTGGTTAGTTCCAAAGTTATACTAGCTGTTACTTCTATCTTTTGTTGCTCGACCTCGACCCTGATGAACCACTCAACATTTCAATCCATTCGCCACTAATCGACCTCGGGCGAACTGTCTATGATAAGTTACAATTCTCACGATAATTACCTTCCTCGTGCTAAATCTTCTCGGTCGAATTTTGACCCATACAGTTAGTCCCTCTGCTTATCGAGGCTGCCTTTTGGTCGACCTCGATGAGCAGACTTTGCTAGTCACAGTTTGGGGAGATTCGGGTGGGGAGGTCGAGTAGTCGGAGTTGCGGTCGAGTTAATGATGTGGCGTTTTGAAATCCATGCTTAATGACGTCGGTTCAGAAATGAAGTCACAGCTTCATGCGTCATCATTACGTTTCTTCCCGATGCGTTGACTCGTTTCCTGTGTCCCTGATGTTTCCATCCTAGTTCATTTAACAATTATTTTTCTCGATTTGTGCGCGGATATTCTATAAATAAAAGGGGGAAACCCTTTGCACGAGACTTTACATTTCCAATCTTTCGAACCTGTGTAGCTGCTCCTCTTCTTCTTCTTCTTCTTCTTCTTTCGGCATTCCTATTTTCTACACCTTTTTCCATTATCACTTCCTGTATTTTTAATTCATGCACTTTCAATTCCCGCACTTTTAATTCCCTCACACAAATATAACAAAAGATGGCTAGTGCATCTTCCATTCCTGAGGAGACCCTTGACCTGGTTCTGTTGTCAGTGGCCTTGCTTTCTCACGATGATGGGGAGGCCATTGTTGCGGAAGATGAAAGCTTCCCCATAGTGGAAGAAACCGTTCCTCGTAGTGATAGGGCCAGGTCGGACTTCTCAAAGTCACCTGAGGACGAGCTTGAGCCTTTAAAATTCGAGATGGGAGCGGTCCATCTTGCCGGGCTTAAGGCCAAGTACGACATCCCTGCTTACATCGATCTGGTCCCAGATGGGAGAGATGTGATCCACATTCACCGTCCTAGGTATTGCAAATTTTACGCGTATCCGTTTCAAGTGGATATTCTCTTACCCTTCCCCCGTTAGCAGAGGAATTTTGCCGCTACTATGGCATCTATCCAGCCCAGCTCTCTCCTTGCATCTATAAACTGTTTATTATGTTGATAAAGTACGCGGAGTTGGCCAATCGTGGAATTTTTATCCGCCATTTCCTACATCTTTTTGCACCAAGCTTTCAACGAGGTACGATAACATACCTCCCCCACCGTGGGACCAAGGGACTGGTGGTGAAAATGGACGATAAGGCAAATTGTCGATGTTGGGTCAACTATTTCTACATCAAAACCGAGCATGTGGTGGCGAACCCTAGTGGATACCCCGAGGAATGGAACTTCGCCCGTAAGTGTTTTTGTTAACTGATCGTTTGTTCTTTCTTCGATGACTTGATCGTTCTTCTTTTGTGCAGTCGAGAAGGATCTTCCTACGTTCGTCGCCGATATTCGTGATTGGGTGGCTCAAATTTTGCCCCACACGGTGGGGATCCGTGAGTGGTCATCGTTCAATAAGAAATTTGGACGTAAACCTTCTTCGACCGGTAAGTCAAGTCTCGATCTTCAGTTATTTCAACCGTAATGTCGTTCTCTTTTTCACTTACGTGGTTTTTCTTTGTTGTTAGTTTGGGGGTTCTGAGGAAAGCGAAGACTCCCACCCCAGCTTTCCGTCAATCAGGTGCCTCGACCGAGTCTTTACTCGCTATGACTGTAGGCGATTTCGCACAAACAGCTGCTTCTTCTCCGGCCTCACGTAGGCTTGGTTGTCGGGCGACTGCCCTATCAGTGGAGACTCCTACTTCTCCAATATTACACTTAGTGGACGAGTCATCGTCGGGCGAAGAGAATGCGGTTCCGCTAAAAAGGCGGAGAATAGAGGTTGGCGATGAGGCGGTAGAGAACGAAAAGCCGACGAGGGGTGATCCCGGTGGTCCATGATCGCGCCCGAGGGCAGCATGGTTTTTGACGCAGAGACTGCGTCCCCTTCAGATGTTATCGCTCCCTTGCCAGAGGTCACCATGGTCGCACTGACGAACGATCTGTCAACGTCTGAGCCGGTCGACATTCCTTCCTCGTCGAGGAGAGGGAGAAAGGTGTGATCGTAGATGACTATGAGTTCGGTTACGACGTCGACCCCGAAGAAGAAAGGATGTTCGATGAGGGGTTTACCAGTGTGGAGGTGAGAACGGATGGATCCATCGTTCTATAGTCATTCCCTTGTACTGCGAACTGTTGACGAACACTGAGAGTGTGTTCCCTTCTTTGGTCCCTTTTTGCTCTGGCACTGAGAACAGGACTCTACGGTCTTTTAAGAATGCCGGCCTATCGTTAAGCATATCAAGAATGGTTTTGGGGGTGAGTTGGTACCCTTGTTTTTGTTCTTGTACCTTGCGTCTTTTCTCCTTTTTATTCTTACTGATTCTTTTTGGCTCTTTTTCTCTTTAGACTCTTATTTTGGAGATCGAGAGCTCCCGCCGAGAAGAGAAGCGGAAGGTGGTTGATAACTAGGTATTTTGTAGTGTTTTATGCTCCTTCTTGCTTATGCTTTGGTTATAAATTGCTACAAAAATGGTCCCAAAAGGGCTCATAAGTGTGTTTGTTTGCAGGTTTGATCGACAAAGTGACGAAATGTCAAAGTTCGGCTTAAAAGGAGTGAAACTTGCTCAAGCACAAAAGACAAGGCAAACTGAGGGCAAAAAAGGCCTAGTGCGGCCGCATTCGACTTTGCGCGGTCCGCACTAGGTAGATTCAGAGAGATGGCAAAACCAGGCTTCAGGCAATGCGGCTGCAGTACACATAGCGCGGTCCGCAGTGAAGGCTCCGCGGCCACACTACCTTTTTGTGCGGTCCGCGGACAAGAGATTCAGAGAGATGGAGATATGCCAAGTCCAAGCCATGCGGTCCGCGGTTGTGATTGTGCGGACCGCGCCAGCTGCCTCCGCGGCGGCGGTCCATTCTACGCGGCCCGCGGAGCCCAAGTTCAGAGAGCCCAGAATTGAAGTCAAAGAGCCTAGTGCGGCCGCGGTCCATTTCATGCGGCCCGCACTGACCCCGCAGGGGTATTTTTGTCCAGTTTTTCTATCCTAGTATAAATAGAACATTTTACCATTTTTAGGTCATCGGTTAATTCCAGAACTTAGTTGCTCGTGAGAACATCATTTGTAGCCATTTTTGGCATCTTAGCTTCAAAT